CGTACACCAACGTCCAGCTTCTCATGTACGCTCCACCATGGGTTGCTACCCCACTTACGCTCCCGAGGAGACCTATCTGCCGAAAGTTTGGCCAACAATTCCTTACTGCTGTATACTCGCCTCTCTCCAATCGAAAACAATGCATTGTGCGTGCCGCACATCTAGCTCCGCAGCTTTTGCGTGGTTGGGTCAGGTCGTTCAACTTGGTCGACGTGAGTAATAAGCTTTGCTTTGGTGGCTCTATGTTTTATTGATCCACTTCAAGCAACGAACATCCCCCCCCCTCCACCGTCCGATCCATTTTGGATCTCACGCCGGAGAGTTTTGGGGTGTCTTAGCTCTAAGTCCTCCACCGCCCAATGGGGGACTTGAGTATTTTTTTTTAATGCCGTACCAATAGGCATTAACCTTAGGTAAGCTTGTGCTTACTTTGGACTGTACCCTCCTCATCCTCTGGGGGAGGTAGAGGGGGGGGGGGAGTGCATGGCCTCTATTTGTCAGGGGCGGTTCGGGTACGGGATGGGGGTCGGGTCTATGTGTACTGCATTCTCGAATTGTCCCCTCACTATAGCTACTGTGAATTTTCAGTATACAGCTATCTTCACTCAACGCGTCTATGTGACCGGCACTATTCAATACAAATCAACCTGTGAGGTTTCAGTATGCAGCTTCCTTCACACAATGCGTCTATGTGTCCAGCAGTCGCAAACGTCACTCAACTCGTGAGGAATCCGTATGCAGCTATCCTCATTCAACGCGTCTATGTGTCCGGCGATCTCCAATGCCAATCACCTCTGAGGTTTCAATATGTCTCTTTCCTCACTCAAAGTGTCTATGTGTCCGGCACTATCCAATACAAATCAACCTGTGAGGTTTCAGTATGTAGGTATCCCCACGCAGCGCGTCTGTGTCTGGCAAACTCAAAAACCAATCCATCTGTGACGTTTCAGTATGCAGCTATCCTCGCTCAACACGTCTAGGTGTCCGGCGATCTCCAATACAAATCACCGGTGAGGTTTCAGTATGCAGCTATCCTCACTCAAAGCGTCTATGTGTCCGGCATTATCCAACATCACTCAACTCGTGAGGGGTCAGTATGTAGCTATACCCACTCAGCGCGTCTATGGAGTCTCTTGGTGGTTTTGTTGTTATCTCGTTGCCACAGAAGCAAGGCATGGAGAAACACACGCTTACCGCGGCCGATCTGCCGACAATACCCGGGTCGCTGGTCTCACGACTACGGCATGCACGCACGTGAGTACCCCCCGCCTACCTGTGCTGCAGTTGCCGTCCGGCCGCCAGGAGGGTCCCCGCGGTTAGCGCCAGGACGAAGGTCACCCGTAGGGCGAGCCACACCAGCCAGCGTCTACCCCACGTGCCCCTGAGATACGTGTTGCGCGCCCTGCGCACTCTCCCTGGGGCCTTGGCACCGATGCCGCTGCTGTTGACGAGACACCTCGCCGGCTCGAAGGGGGGTGCCTCCGAGTAGCGTAGGGGGGCCAGCGAGAAGAAGGAGGTCGCTCTTGACGCCTACATTAGGTGGCAACACGCGCGTTTTGTTTCGGGAGCGGGGTCGTCGGTGATGAAGAGAAAGCTATCTAAATGGAACAATACCGCGACTAAGGGACGAAGGAGGGGGCCGGCGAGTGAGAATCAGTTAACCCCCCCCCCCCCCCCTCCGTTTGAGTGGTTCTGAAGGAGAAGTACCCACACAGGCTGGAGACTAGCGTAAGGAAATGGGGATGACGAGGGCGCAGGCTGGCTACCCTCGCTACGCTAGAAGGCGCACCCGGGTCGCGGGAAAACTCCCCCAATCGAACCCAAGAGACGGGGTACAGCAGTAGACGTGACATGGTGATTCACGGATTGCTGGGCTTGTCCTCTCTGCCCACGTACAGTCGCCCGCGAGGGGAGTGCTCCAAAAGGAAGGGCTGGGCCTGCAAGGCCAACACAAGACAGAATACTGCAAAAGTCGTGTTCTGACGTCGGCACACGCATGGGGGTCGGTGGGCGGGAGAAACCGCATGCTCTCCTGTTGTTGGCGTCTTCGTTCTGTCCCCTCTCACCTGCTGCGTATATTTCTCCGTCGCAAGCCTGCAGGCCTTCGTCCACGCATGATCATTCTTGGTGCGTAGGTCTGCGACGGCCTTGCGCAAGGGTTGCTCGATCTTATGCTGCAGCTCTCTCGACGCTAGCAGGTAGCCCTTCCTGTGAGGGTAGTCCTGCGTTTTCCCGCGTAGTTGGGAAAGGGTAGGATGTTAGTTGAGGCCAATGGGCGGTGGAAAGAGGGTAGGATGGTATAAACGTGAAGGGCGACGGAATTGGCCGGAGACAAGACAGAAAAGCGGAAGACAAGGGCAGAGGGGACAAGAGAGAAAACAAAGACAGAGATAACACACAAGAGAACAAAACACGAGTTGCGTTTCCACGCGCCTCCCACGCAACGAACCACCCAATAGCAGGCGAGCAGTCACACAATCGGGCCCCCCAAGTGCTACACGCTTGTAGTTCCATTGTACTGTACCATGCCAATATTACCCGAAGAGGTACCCGTTGGCCAGCTTGGGGTGGCGTGGGGCGGCGGACGTTTTCAATCAATACATGTATGCTTGCAAACGATACCTCGGACCAACGGATGACAACACTGTTCTGCGAAGCGCCCACAGGAACGGTTGACTCAGGACCCAAGCCATTGTCGCCGCTGCTTGCATCGCTGCAGCTGGCGCGCCGGGCGCAGCTGACACAACACACGACAGCAGTGTAATCTGCCGTCTCTGCACACCTTCTGTAGCTGTTCGCTCAACGTGACGAACAGGCGATCGATCACTTGGTCCGGCTCTGGCAGCTCCAATTCCAGCGACATGTCGTGGAAGCGGCCGGTGAGGGCTGCAGAAGCCATGTCGACGAGGCTAATGTTGCGCGCACAACAACGGACGAGGCGGGAAGTAGGGCAGCGGGGGGGAGGGGTCAAGGTTGTGCAGCACGACCACGGGGCAGGGTGTTGGACGAATGGAACACAGTCTGGGAGCACGAGCGCCATCAAATACCACGGAACCCCCCCCCCCCTACATA